CCATCTGGCTATTGTCCCCAGCACGGAGGGGTAGGTCACCCATGCACCCCCTGCCATGGGCATTCTGAGCTCTGCCTTCTGTCACGAGTCTCCCTGTGGGACTGAGGGTTTGTCTGACCCCTGCTCTGACCCACAGGACCTGTTGGAGGGATGTGTCTATGTGGGCTGTGGGAGCCATCAGCAATCTCCCTCGAGCTGCCTGTGCCGACTGTGTCATGCAGGGGGGTGGTCCTAGGGGAGCAGGGGCACTGTGTGCCTGCCTGGGCTCAGGTCCTGCTCAGGAAGGAGGCTGAGGCTTTGCAGGGATGCACAGCCAGCCTGCTTGGGTGGGGGGTTCCTGCATTATCCACTCACTAGGGATTTGGGGATGGGATTTGGGTCATCCCTAAAGGTATCTTCTGGCTTTAATTTAATTTAATTAGGCTTGTGGCTTCCTGAACCCAAGTGCTGAGGACCAGCAGCAGCATTACCAGGCCTGCTGCCAGCCCAGCCCTGTCTGCCCGTGCTTGGGCATGAGGGCTGCTCCCACAGGGAACGGGGACATGGCATGCCATCAAAGCCAGTGGCTGGGGTGGTGTTTCCTGTGAACAGTGATGACACTGGATGGGTTGTGGGCTGTGGGTGCCCCTTCCCAGCCCCACTCCCACAGAATTACCTTGGGTGTGGGCAGATGGTGGCTGATGCCTGGCTGGGGAGGCCAGGGCTGGTGCATGGCTGTGGTGGCCCAGCTGCTGTGGGGACAGGTGCTCCTGCCTTCCCCTCCCTATCCTGTGCCCTGCCAAGAATTTGTTCCTTCACAGCTCCCCATTGCCCAGGGCTGACATCACCCCTTTATCACTCCTTGCTCCAATTGTGTGCAGCATCTGGAAGGTGTTGGCCACTGGGCCTTGTCCTGCCCACACAGGATTTTGCTGGGCATTTTATCATGCCTGGACCTGCACTGTGCAAAGATCCCCTCCTTGAGCTCCTCTGGGAGACTGCCATCCCCTCTGATGGCACCATCCCCAGCTGGTGGCACCTTGTCCTGTGCTTCTGCATCCATGAGGTTCCCACGCTCCCAGGATGGAGCTGAGACAAACAGCTGAGTTGGGATCAGTGCCTGCTCAGGCACCCAGGTGAGCCTCCCTGAGTGCTGCTAAATCCCATACTGTGCCCAGAGAAGCTGGATCCATGATGGCAGTGAATCCTGTCAGAGCCAGAAGGCCACATTTAACTTGGCATCCCAGGCAGGGTCTGAGCTTGAGCCCATGGAAACAAGTGGTGCAGCATGTTAATCCATTCGGCCTTGGTGCCCTGTTGATGGTGTCCTTGAGCCTGATGACAGCTCCATCTTGGCAAGGCCTCTTGGACAGGGTGGTGGGACACACAGCCCTAAAGCTCTTTGGGGAGGGGGGACTGATGTCCTGGGATTTGAGGAGCAGCAGGGGGCACCCAGGCAAGGGCCTGCAGAGCTGATGGGGGTGGAGGGGGGTGATGTCCTTTTGAGTGCCCAACTCAGCTGGCAAGCTCCCAGTTGGTGGAAGATGGAGCATCCTCAAGGGGTGCCTCCAGCTGCCTTGCTGCCAGGTGCCTGGGGCTGCTGACTGACCACGCTGCTAGGGTGACCATGGGGGAGCTGGTCCATCACAAGGGTGCTCAGCCCTGGGGCAACACCTCCCTCTTCAGCTTCCACACCAGGGTCCCTCAGCTGGGGTGGCTGAGGAGGGACCAGATCCAGGGAGCTGTCACTGTACCCAACAGGCTCTGGGCAGTTTTGCAGGCACATGGGAATTCTTTAGCCAAGCTTGGTTCTCACTGCTTAGGTTTTCGTTGGTCCTCACCTGTGGTTCAGGATACAGAGGTCATAAGGACGCACAACTTCTGGTTCAGAGATGAGGGTGCTCAGTTTATGGCTCGGGGATGAGGCTGAGGATGTACACAGCTCATGGCTAGGGGATGAAGAAGCTTGGCTTGTAACTCAGGGCTTAAGATGCCCAGCTTGCAATTCCAAAGCTCCAGAATGAGACTGCACAGTTCATGGCTCATGGAAGGGGACTCTCAGCTCACAGTTTGGGAAGGGAAGTCATTCCTAGGTTGTGTTGAGGTGAGCACTGCAGACCTGTGCTGCCAGCCCTCCATCATGTACTGTGCCAGCAGTGGGGGCAGGGGCAGGCAGGTGGTTGTGGTTCAGCAGCTCCCGGGTCACAGCTGTGTTACTGACCCTCTCTGCTCCAATCAGAAAACTGTGGCACTAATTTTGAGCATGTCTGTGTATGGTGGCCTTGGTGCTGGTGCAGGAGAGCAGGGTGAATACCTGAGACAGCAAAATGTCAGAGTGTGCCATGCCTGACTCACCTGAAAGAAATGTGTCCGCACCAAACAGGGACTGCAGCTCCAGCCGGCTCCTGGAGCGAGGAAGCAGCGGTGCAGGCTGGCTGGGAGCTGCCCAGCTGGCACAGCTCAGCCCCGGCAGTGGCTCTGCTGTCACCGTGAGGAGCAGCTCTGGACAATGGATGCAAGATGCTGCGGTGTCAGTCCTCTTTCCCTCCCCGAGTGGGTGGGAGGCCACCCCTTATGATGATGCCGGAGGCCAAACCTTTTTGCTTGCTCAAGATAAGTAAAATTGGGGCTTGTCATGCCAAAATTCTAGTGGAGGCGTCCATCTCTCACTCTTTGGGAAGTCGCTGAAGTGGCTGGAGCTTTCGTAAAGTTCTCAGGAATTGCTGCTGACCTGCTGCTCTGGAAAACGTCCGGCCGGCCCCTGGTGCAGGAGTTTGTCCCGGCTTGCTGAGCCTGTGGAGGGCTGCTGGATTTTGCAACCTGGACTCAAGTTTAGCTCTGCTCCTGCTGCAGCAAAAGCCTCTGTCTGCTGACCCAGGGTCCGTGGGGATAAGATGCAGGGGCTTCAAGGTACCTGCTCTCCTCTGCTGCGCTCCCAGTGCTGGGCTCCTGTGCTTGATCTGACCACGTCCCTCCCTCCAGCAGGACTGTGAAACCAGCTGGCAAGCTGGGAGCTGGGGCGGGGGGAACTGGCGCCGGCATCTCCTCGTGATGCAGCATCCTGGGAGGGCAGCGAGCCCACACCAGCCTTGCTGGGGCTGCACAGACTGCACGGCTCCAGCGCTCCCGGCGGGGCCGGGCCAGCGGCAATGGCTCCTGTGCCAGCTCCGGCGTGGCCAGCAGCTCATGTGCTGGTGGCCACAGGGAGTGAACATGGCCCTGGGAAAGCTGCCATGCTTTGGGGCCACGTGTTATGGGCCCAGGGGGTTCATTGTCCCTCCCTGCACTCTTGGCCATGCCTGAGCACAGCGGATGGGAAGCTGAGCAGCAGCGGAGACCTTAAATAACACCAGAGCATCCTCACCCTCCTGGCCTTGGGCCTCCCGCCAGCCTCCCAGGAGTTTTTTTATTTGGTATGTGTGTGAATAAATTAGAACTTCCGAAACAAACCCTCTGACTGCCCTGCTCCTCTAAGGCAAAACAAACCCTGCCTGACTTGGACAGCATGTGGCTGTGTTTGCTACCTCCTTGCCAGACTTGCCCATAAGAAGCCAGCAAACCTGGCTCTCGGTTTTTTGGGATGTTTCCCGGGGTTTTGAGAGTTACATGGTGATAGGAAGCTTCATGTTTGGACTGGAAGCTTTTCTTGCCAGCTGCATAGGAGCAGTGCAGGTAACCCTCCTGTCAGCTGCGTCATGGTGAGGCTGTGGCCAGGAGCACTTTTATTTTTAAACCTTATCTTTATTGCAGTTTTCTCCTGCACTGCTTGAAAGGTGAAATGCACCTTATCTGTTTGTCTGCTGGCAGTATGCACTGCTCTAGGGAGGGGAGAGGTGGATGTGCTGTACCTTCAGCATGCCCTGCGGACCAGGGTTCTGGGGGTGATGCTGGGGCAATGCCAGGGATAATGCTGGGGTGATGCTGAGCCAACCTGGCACACATCCATGATGAATGTGGGGTGTTGTGTGGGAAAGGGAGGTCCCTGCAGCCCCTTCCTGCCAACTGAGCACCTCTGGGCTGTGTTATCACTCTGGCCTCTGGCCAGAGGTTTAATTACAGGTTTCTGACGCAGCAGCAGAGTAAAACTGAACTGGGAACTGGGACAGACACTGAACTGACGCTTAGCTGGCACCCCAAGAGCTATGTCTGATCCCAGCCTGGGGGTGTGGAAGAGTGAGGCATCCAGTCCATGTGCCAAAGGCTGGTGGAGGGCTGCTGAATCTTGTGAGGTAACAGTCCCCAGGGCCACTGTTGTGTCCACCCCTGTGTCCACCCCGGGGTGGCTCCAGGTGCCACACAGGGTCAGTTTTCAGGATGTCCTCATGAGCACCCAAAGGTGCAGGGCAGGAGGGTACAGGGCCACGGGGCTGCCCCTGCAGTGCTCCCCTGTTAATGGTTAATGTGACTGGGCAGCGGTCGTGGCACAGACTCCCCGAGCTATCAGTGCTGCCATCGGCCCCGGGAACAGCCTGTACCTTGCTGCTGCTGTTTGTTTGCATCCTGGCCGCTCCACCCTGGCCACTGGCCTTGTCACCGCTCTGCAACAGCCAGCTCCCGCCCGGGCTGTCTCCCAGCCACCCCGATGGTGGCTTTGCAGGTGATAGTGTCACCTGTGGGGCCTCTGTTTGAACAGAGATGGAGGATGTGAGGCTGGGACCGGGCATGGAGCACCAGAACTCTCCCGAGTGGTCCATCCCGTTTGGATGCTCCCTTGAAGGATGCAGGGTAGCAGGAGCAGACCAGAATCCGTTTTTTCCCTCACCATTTTTAATCCCCTCATGCCCCAGCCAGGTGAAGAGGTTCTCTGCCTTTTGATCACTTTCTGGGAGGCGAAAGGCATTCGGCAAAAGTCTCCCACGGAGCCTGATGCCAGCTATGAATAGTTCTTGATGGAGCTTTTAGAGGCTATTTTGAGGGCTGATGGCCCCTCATCGCTGCAGGGCTCTGGGCTGTTCGGTGGGTGCGTTGCTGGTGCCTGTGGGTTTGCCTGCAGCTCGGGGACGATGGGGCTGCAGATAAAGGGAGTGTTTTCTTCCTCCTGCAAGGGAGAGAAAACAACAGCTCCATGACCTGCAAATGCCCCAGGGCAAGGTCACATCCTGGTGAGTCAGGAGCTACAGCAGGGTGCGGAGCCAAGGTGGTGCTCAGGCAAGGGAAACTGATGCTGGGGTGGATGTTTGGTTCCTGGGGTTGGTTCCTAGTGATGGAGAGGCAGAGCTAGGGGATCTTTGGGGGCTGGAGGCAGACAGTGGCTGTCACTGGCCACTGCAAGGCTCTTCCCATCTCTTTCAGGATGTGACTCGGGCTTTGGGCAGGCAACAGCCAGGCACTTGGACATCATGGGCTTTCGGGTGTTTGCCAGTGTGCTGGACCTGCAGAGTCCTGGTGCCCAGGAGCTGCGCCAGAGCTGCTCATCGAGGCTGACGCTGCTGCAGATGGACCTGACCAAGACAGAGGACATCCAGCGTGTCCTGCAGCATATCCAGGCCCACACCAACAGCACAGGTAGGAGCTGCCTTTGGCAACCTCACAGGACCCCACAGAACTCCCTGGGATCTCAGCCTGCAGCCAGCATGGCAGCGGCACCCTCCATCTGTCTCCACGGGGGGCTGCGTCCCTGTGCCAACAGCCTTTGCCAAGCTCTCTTGTCCTGGGGCATCCTACAATTCCCTTGCAGGACCCCCATCAGCCTGGGGAGCAGCTGGAAATCCTGGGGTGGGGCTTCCCCATTCAGGTCACCTCTTCAAGCATCCCATTCCCACAGGACTCTGGGGCCTGGTGAACAACGCTGGGTTCAATGACACCATTGCCGACGCTGAGCTCTCGCCGCTGGGCAAGTTCCGCACCTGCATGGAGGTGAACTTCTTTGGCTCCCTGGAGCTCACCAAGGGGCTGCTGCCCCTGCTCCGCTCTGCTGGTGGCCGCATTGTCACCGTGAGCAGCCCTGCAGGTGAGCAGCCTCCCTCCAGCGTGGCACCCCTGGCACCCTCAGCCCAGGCATGGCTTGAGCATCCCCATGGTGTAGTGCAATTTCCAGCCCCCAGGCACTCCAACCTTCTCAGCCAACTGGCTCCAGGAACTGTAGAATGAGCTGGCAGCACTGCTGAGCCCCACAGCAGCTACTAAGACATGAGGAGACATGGGGGCTGGGGACAGGCAGCCTGGTCACAGGCAGCATGGGCAACCCAAGCCCAGCTGCCATGTGTCTCCATTGGGGAGGACAGCCTCAGCCAGGGTGGGAAAATCAACTTCCTTTCCCCTGCCCTTTTTTTGCCCATTAAAACACTCTAATCCTCCATTGGGGATGACAATCCCAAGCTTTAGCTGGACAGGGAGCAAAATCAATTTCCTCTTCCCTCACCACTGTTTTTTGCCCCCATTAAAACATTAATTTGAATTTGAACAATTTCAGTTGTTTTCTTAGCAAAACAAACCCCAAGCCATTTCCTTAAGCAGGGCCCAGGAACACAGCCCTACACAAGCCCTGCCCTTCCTCCCCCCTCCCCTCTGTCCCTGCTGGAGCACTGGCTCACTCATTCTTTCACTCCTGCCAGGTGACATGCCCTTCCCCTGCCTGGCAGCCTACGGGGCCTCGAAGGCAGCCCTCAGCCTGGTCATGGACACCTTCCGCAGTGAGCTCCAGCCCTGGGGCATCAAAGTCAGCCTCATCCTGCCTGGATACTACAAAACAGGTAAGAGGGTCAGTGCCTGCTCCTGTCTGTGCCTGTGGGCAAGGGACAGGTATCCCAGGGAGGCAGAAGATGGAGAAATGGGATGAGCAGTTGGTGGTGCAACCATGCAGCTTCTGAGTATCTCCAGCCATACGGGGACAGTGGCTATCCTGTGGCCGTTGGGCTCTGATGGACTAGAAACAGCATCACGTCCTGCCAGCAGACCCCATACCACTAGGACTGGTCAAAGCAGCTCAGTCACGTTTATGACAGCAGCATCCCCACTGCAGGCAGGGTCCAAGACCCCTGGTCCAGTCTCAGGCTAGCACGAGCCACTATGGTGCTACTACTGTCCTTCCCTCATGGCAATCTTTGCCAGGGTCTTAGCTGGACCTTCCTGTGAGGCTGGAAGGTGACTGGGGCTGCTGGCACCCATGGCAAGGGGCCTGGAGTGGGGGGCCCACAAGCTCACGGGGACTGTTTCCTTGCAGGGACGACATGTGACCCTGCCTTCTGGAACCTGCATAAGCAGCAGCTGTTGGCCAGCCTGCCCCAGGAGCTGCTGCAGGCCTATGGCGAGGACTATGTGGAGGAGATCAACCAGCAGTTCATCCAGTTCATGAAGGTGGCAGTGGAGGACCTCAGCGCAGTGGTGAACAGCATCACAGAGGGGCTTCTGGCTGCCAACCCAGCCGTGCGCTACTACCCAGGGCAGGGCCTTGGGATCATGTATTTCATACACCGCTACCTGCCCTACTTTGTCCGAGACTTGTTCTTGAAAGGATTCTTCATCAACCCCAAGCTGCCCCGAGCCCTGCGGCGAGAGCACCACAAGGATGTGAAGAAGGCCTGACCTGGGCCTGCCCAGGGCCTTCTCCCGGGCTCTCCAGGCACACCGGCCCCTGAGCGCGTGCAGAGCCAAAGGCACTGCCCTCCTGCACCGTGGGGGAACAATCAGCATTAGACGTTAAAAACCAAATTTCTTTCCAAAAATCAGGTAGATCTATTTTCTATTGTGCAAGAATCAACGTTTTCTAGAGACCTTGGTTTTGTATTTTTTCTAACCATGTACCGTCCAAGAGGCCCATCCCTGCCTGACTCAGCAGCTCTGCACCACAGGCTGGGATGTACCTCCTCAGCTGCCCACCACCTTCCTTACTGCTCTCAGAGCTGTTTGTCTCCATCCCCTCTTGGCTGGGTCAGGGCTGGGACCCTGTGGCCGCTGCCTCCCTGCCACTCATTACACACTCCACACGCTCCTGATCAGTGCAGGGGCCAAGACCAGGCTGCCAGTGCTGCAGAGCTCTTCATGAGATGAACTATGTGATTGTCACTTTTTAAATAAATCCATTCTTGATATTCCAGCAGGCTCTGGCTGTCTCCTTCCACAGTGCAGTGCTGCAATGCTGCTCAGGGATGCCCAGCCTGTGGGCAGAGCTAAGCTGGGTCATGACTGGCCCTGTGCCGAGCACTGTGGCAGGAGCCTCACATGCAGCAGCAGTTGCCACAGGTACTCCCAGAAAAGGGCTCAGCCTGCCAGGAGGGATTTGTGCCCACTCCCTGCCCTTCCCCAGCCCTATGCCAAAAGCTTTCTTTTGCTTTGCTCCGACTCTGTGGCCCTGCTGGGGCAAGGATGGCAGCGGTGACAGTGCCCCATGTGGACAGCCCCAGGCACCAGGGAAAACCATGCAGCTCCCTAACCTTCCTAACCTATGGACCATTCCCATATGGCTGCAGCTCTTAGCTCAGCAGCCAGCTGCACCCACAGACCAGGCACTGTCCTGGCTTGGGCTGGAGGGAGTACTCTGTACCTCATGGGGTGGTACCACAGCGATGCCTGTGGTACAAACAAGTGTCCCAACTCACACAGGAACCACACCAGGCTCCACTACCACAACTACCAGATTCCCTGTGACTGATGGAGGCTCCACCTGGGGCTGTGGGAGCAGGTGCCCAAGTAAGCAGGAGAGCACAGTGCAGTAGGCAGATATTTATTGGTGTAGAGAGGATGGGATCACAGGAAAACAAGCTGCAGAGGTGACCACAGCACAAGCTGGGACAGAGCCACTCTCCATTGATCCTTCCTCCCAGCAGCATCCAGCATGTTTCCCTTCCGCAAGGCTTGTCTGCTGCCATTGCACATCTCCCAGAACTCAAGTGCAAGTAGGAGCTAGCCAGAACAGAGCAGCGAAGAGCAGGGCTGCCCCACCATGCCCAGGGCTTGGCTCCCACCCTAGACCACAGATAGGCAGGGTCTGGGACATCCCTGCCCCCACCAGGGTGACTAAGGCTGCTCTGTCCCCTGGCCAGCTGTGCCATACAGCTCCATGGTTGTGCCAATCCACCCTCTGCAGGGGAGAAGCCTGGATGTCTACCCTGGAGGGGTGCAGGGGTCCACCACCATCTGCAGAGCCCAGAGGAGCCCCAGCTCTTGCATGGTTGTGTCAGTAAACTGCAAGCTGTGGGTCTTCACAGCTCTGAAGAAGGAGCTCAGCCAGCTTATGGAGCCCTGTCCAGGGCAGCAGGGAGACTGATGAGAGCTTCTTCTGCAGACACAGAGAGGCTGCATGAGTGCAAATACTGCCAGAGTGGGAGGACTGTGCTCCACAAGCACTCTGGCTCTGCCCTCACATTCCCACAGGCTCCATTCCAGTCCTGGCCAGGGTTGCTTGGTCTCTCCCAGGTCAGGGTTCACTACAAGGGGATGAAGGGATTGCACAGCAGCATGGGCTACGCTACAAACCACAGTCTAACTACATCTCACAGGAACAACACTGAGTAGGAGACGTGCAGAGCACTGACAGAGGGCCCCCCCAGCCATGGCAGACCTGACCCATTCCTCTGCAGCAGTGGAACTCTCTGAGGCAGCCCCCTGCAGCTCTATGAGCATAAGCACACACAGCAATTAGTACAGGAACACTGTGACTACTGCATACACAACAGGAGACCCTCCTGCTGCACAGGGCTAAGCCTGGACCACTGGTCCCTCTGGATATCTCACAGCACACACAACTCCAACTTTTGAATAATTTAACTAGCAACTGTACAGTTTCCTCATTTGATCCAGTTCCGCAGATGGGACATCCCTGGAGTCTGGGCATGGGACAATTCAGGGAGTTAGGGGTCTGTCCAGACTCCAGGGGTGGGAGGGTTGGACAGGAGCAGAGCAGAGTTAGAAGATGGGAATGTAGTTGTCGATCTTGGTCCTGTGCCGCTGGGCGATGCACTCTGCGATCCACACAATGTTGCGGCACTCCTGCTCCTTCAGCTTCACGAAGGCATAGAAGACTCCAAAGTGGAATTGGTTGAGGAAGGCCAGCTTGTTCAGCTTTACCTGGGGAAAGCCCAGAGGAGGACATGTCATTTGTTCACTTCAGATAGGAGGAGTTGGTCAAGGCAAGCATGGAGCTGCTTGGAAGGACCCATGACTTCCCAGCAGGCTGGAAGGCTCTGCACAGGTATCCTGCTCTGCATCACTCTAGGTCCCTGGGACAGCTCTAACCTATAGCACATGGCTCAGGACACACTCTGACATTTGAAGGGGGAAATATTTATAACTCAGGTACCATAAAAGTCCTTCTTCTCCATGTAATTACACTCTGGTTTTGCTGTCGATGAACCAAATATCCATTAGCAGCCCCAAACATGCCTCCTCACAATGCTGGAATCTGTCTGGCTTAGACAACAGGCCAAGCACTATGCCAGGCCCCCATTCTCATGCAGGAGCAGAGGGCAAGCATGCTTCTCCTTCCCCCAAATCCTGTTAATCCACAGCACTGCTGACAGGGCAGTAGACCAGCTTCCTGACACCTGGAGCTTTGCAAATGGCACATGTCAAGAAGCATTTCAGGGCTCACTCACCTCGTGCTCAAAGAACCTGTCTTCAAGGGTTTTGTCTCCAGGGTTGCTGCCAGCCCCTTCAAATAGCAGCTTGTACTCCTGCAGGAAAGCATTACATGAGGATATACCCTGTACCCAAACTCAGTAGCACTTGAGGGCCTCCTGTGTCACAGATACTCCAGCCACCCTGTTAAGTCAGAGGACAGAGAAACCAAGAGTCCTGCCCCTTCTCCAAAATGTGCAGTTCTCAAAGGCGTATCATTGCTTCAAGCCACAGGAAAAGGGGCATCGGGTACAGACCCCCTCCACATACAGACTGGAGTGCTTGGGCCAGACCCCTGTGCCCACACACACAGGCTGCTCAGTAAAGGGACACTGAGGTCTTTGACTCCAAACAGGTCCACAGCCATGCACAAAGTGGCTTGAACACAGACAAATCCAAACATGTCCTCCCAGGTCAGCAGCTCACCTTCAACTGAGCCAGAGCTCAAGGCTGGAAGTGGGGCAACACCACTTCTCACTGAAGATACATTTCCATCCCAAATCAGGCAAGGAGAGCCTGTCACTGCTTCCACATCAGCACTTTAGGGGTTTGGTGGTAAAGGTAGTCCCCACACCCTTGGACAGGGAACATTGTCTCCCAGTCATCCCTAAAATGACAGCTATGACTAAGAAGCCAATGGCATCTCAGGCAAGCCAAGTCCTGCCCAAGCAGAGCACAGGACCAACAGCATCAGAGCCGACTGGCACCTCTCTCCCCAGGCTGTCAAGTCACAAGTTTCCCCAGATCCCCAAGAAGCTCTGATGCAGAGCAGGTTCTTGTACCAATCCCCATGGCCCTCACCCCAGAGCACTCACAGGGTAGTAGTCAGCAACGTTTTTGACTTGCTCGTAGTCATCTGCCCTGGCCAGCTGAGCCAGGCCCTCAGGGTAGAGCTTGCCACAGTGTGGGAACAGCTTGGCTCGGTCCTCCTTGGACAGCTCAGTACCAAATGAGTTGATGGTGATAATGAAGGCCCTCCGGTCAGCTTCAAACTGCAGGAAGAGAGTGGCTCATGCTGGGATGCAGTATCTTTACCAGAGGCTGGCAGATATCAGTGCTGCTCTGCACACAGCCACATCAGGAGGGCAGCATGAGGAGGCTCCTGGGATGTGTACAGCTCTCCAGTGCTCAGCTAGAGCAGGCTACAAGTACAGGTTCCCAGTATGCCCAGTACCTGGGGAGCATTCAGGTGAGGAAATCCCCATTCCAGGAACAAGCCAAATCCTGCCCAAGTCCAGGGGTGACTCTCACCTACTGCTCCTAAGTCCTGCACATCTCACAGTAAGCTTTGGCATGGAGACAAGCTGTGACTCCAACAGCTCTGGTAGCTTTCCTACATGTTATCCAGGTCAGAGGATGAAGATGTTGCCACAGAGGCAACTAATGTATCAGTACTTGGGGAACCAAAGTCATGCTCAGTGTTCCCCACGTCTCTCAGTGAGCAGGTCAAGTGGGCATGGGGATGCTGAACAGGAACTGGAGAATGTTTAACAACTGGCAGACAAGCTGGGCCCAAGCAGGGAGTGATGACCATCACTGTAACACCATCCAGCTATGGAAGTTTCCAGACCTACCTCCAGGATTGGGCACATGGCATCTGCTGTGGTACCTCCCAGCGTCTTGCAGAACTTGTAGAAGGACTCCAGGTAAGCCTGGAAGAGAGAGGGCAGATGAGCATTCTTCTACACAGCTTCATCTACTCCCCCACAAGGCCCTTCAGCAGAGGACAGACAGCAGGCAGACTTTGCTTTCTTGCTCCCAGACGCTCTGTAACACAGCACAGGCACTCTGGCCCCATGTGAACTTGCCCACACAAGGACTGTGCTTTGCCCAGGAGCCAGAGACATGAAGGGTTGTGGTTGGGTTTGTTCAAGTGACTGCATGAGCTTACTGTGGGCAAGATCCCCAGGCAGCAAGGTTAAAGCCTTTTTTTCTCCTTTGAGTCGCCTAACTCATTTTACTGAAGTCTCACGTGGTTTCCTGACCCTGCTCTGGCCTCCACAAACGTGCCAAGCCACACAACCATAGCTGCAAGACCTACTCTCAGAAAGTAGCGCTGTGTAAGCAGAGTCAAGAGATGAGATAGGACATCTGTGAAAGAAACCAGCCATTCTCTCTAATTCTCTTTTCACACTGCGGCCACTTGGTCTCTTATCCCAACTGAAGCACTGCAGAAATCATACGGCCAGGCACAGCTACGCTGCCTCCAGGAAATCCTTTGTGGAGATGTTCTGTAATCCATCTGGAAGATGACTCTGTCTCTCAGGGGAGCCTAAGAAGGCTGTGGATGGCTAAAAGTATCATTCAGCAAAAATGTTCTCAGAAGAAGTGATCAAGTAATAAAACACCTCCCCGAGCAGAGAGCTGCAAGCAGAATCATTTCAAAGGGATGGAATAAAAGGATGCTGAGACACCACAAATCTCTGCTTTATCACAACAACTCTAGGACTTAAGAA